AAGCAGACAAGAGGCACCCCTCATACTCTACTATTAATGGCTTGTCGAGCTCCATTCTTTTTCAAAACAGGGCTTCAATGAGGCAGACCTTCTTACTTCGCCTGAAGGGTCTAGTTGAAGACAGTGGAGTGTCAATCGAACACAGTTTAATGGCTCCTGTAGCATACCTGCCACCGTGGCAGTGGCAGACTATTGATTGCGATGTGTCTTTCCTAGAAGTTACTAAACATGCGCCTATTGCCCATATTCGAACATACTTCTTGGAACTTCAACACAAATACACACGTCCTGAGTTTTTTACAGATGCCTCTAAGTCTGCTGTTGGCCCTTCCTTTTCGGATGCTGGCCCTCTACATCCAGGCACAAGTATCTTCACAGCGGAAGCGTACGCGATACTTGTGGCAGCTAAACACATCAAACAATCACAAATACAAAAAGCTGTAATTTATACAGACTCCCTCAGTGTGGTAACGGCTCTGCACAGCCTTAAAAAACAAAAAAATCCTGTCCTCGTTTTACTTTACTCCATTTTATGCTCACTCTACAAACTCAACCGACATGTTGTTGTGTGCTGGGTGCCAGGGCACCGTGAGATTCAAGGCAACGTGATGGCGGATCAGCTTGCTGCATCCGCGCACGAAAGCACCGCCATTACACCCACATCAATCCCGGCCCTTGATCTTAAGCCGTCTCTCAAACGAAAACTAAGGGACTACTGGCAGAGCAAGTGGGATACACACACACAAAACAAACTACACGTTATCAAGCCACACCTTGGCCATTGGCCACCAGTATCAAAATCACGTCACACAGAGGTAACATTAACGAGGCTCAGGATAGGACACACATACACGACACACTCGTATCTTTTCTCCGGTGGCGATCCACCATTGTGTGACAGATGTGGTAAAGCACTAACAGCACTTCACATTTTAATTCAGTGCAAACAATTGGACACTCTAAGAAAACAACACTTTCCTTCACCCTACCGACAACATATACCTTTACACCCTGAAATGTTCGTCGGTAGGGCACCGCTTTTTAGTCACAAATCATTGTTAGCGTTTTTAAAAGAAATTCATAGCTTTCATGTCATATACCCGGCATACCGTAGCACGACCTCTCCAGAGAGGTTTTCGCTGTGGTGGCTGCACAATAAAGCACTTGCCTCACGGCCCTTGGACGCAAGGGTATGAACGAGTGAGGCACTTGTGCCATACATGTCCACCATCGTCATTTATTATCACCAACTTTGTTCATCTATTCGCACCACGCACACCTTTCACGGCAATGGTCATGATTTTGTTCATTGTTGATGACCCCTAAATGATCCCTGTAATTTAGTTCCGGTGGCAAGTTGAACAACGGAGAAAACGTTCTATTGCAAGCGGAGCTGACCACGGCGCACGACTGTCCTCCGGAATGCCGACCGTGCTGCAGCTCGCACAGCAAGCGGTTATTGACGTCAAGGCTTGCCATCGCGCCAGTGTTGCCCAACTATCAGGCTACGTGCTTGTTTATAAAAACATTAGATTGGAAACAACGGCTCGACGAAAATCGCTGAAAGTTTGCCTGAATGTTTGTGAACGTACAAGAATCGACCCACAGAACACAGGTTAAGATTGAAAATTGGTTGTCATGACCTCTTCAAGAGACAAGAAGAGAGCAGAGTGAATCAAGGAACACACTGGAGTTCAGGCTGTCACATTTGAAATAAAGGAGAAAAAATGAACATGGGCTGGGCCTGTAGCACTTAGACAGGTTAACCACTGGTCAATAAAAGTGCGAATGCAATGCGAATGCAAAACTGAAGTATAGTCCGTTAAAATGAATTTCACGATGTTTCTGTCAATAAAATTGCGGGAGGCGTAATCTTTGTCCCTACTTTGAACCACATGAGCTAAAGCATTGCCTCCGAGATGCGGCGCACAGCAATTCATCTGTAGAGCAGACGACGACGACGACGATGACGGTGGCGGCGGCGGCGCTGGCGTTGGCGGTGGCGGTGGCGCTGCTGCTGGTGGTGGTGGTGGTATGTAAGTATCATCATTGCCAACTATGTGTCTACTGATGAGGACAAAGTGTGAGTATCACTAGGCGCGTTTGTAAGTTTCCATGCATGTTTTTGCGGATGGTAGCTGATTGCGTAAGGCACGTGGGAACCCCCATCGCAGGCCATTGAGTTATGCATGGGCTTCCAAGTCATGCGCGGGAACGCATGACTTGGAGTTGTTTCCTCCGGGTTTAAGTGTTTAGCTCGTTATGGCTTGTCATCCATTCGTAGATATAGCATGGCATGAACATGCTCACAATTGAACAATAAAGACCTTCAAAAGTATAATTGCTCTGAAATGTGTTAACATAACTGGACCAGGTCAGACATAATATAAATGAGAGAAATAACCATAGCTTATTTCAAATGACTTGAAGTACCTAAAAACACTTTAAAACACACAGCTGAGACTTGCACCACTCAGAGAGGGCACCACCACCTCACCAAAGGCGTGATTGTACTTCATCCGGGGCATTGATTGCTCCATGCCACGGGTAAAATACCTGACGCAACTGCCGTCAAACGGCACGAATATTGCCTGGCGTGAAATGAAAGAAGTCGAAAAAGCGGGGCCTAAAGTGGCAGATCAAGTTTGTGAATTTCCTCAACAAGGTTGTAGTCGTGCGGAGCGAGCGTTACGTGCATACCTCTTTATCTGTCATTCAGAAATTGACGTCATTGATGGCAAACTTGGCAGTTGGACCACTACAAACTGAAATATATGGGTTTTTATAATAAGTGGTTCTTCAGGTTGGACAGAAATAGAGCTGTACTTATGCAGAATTTAGATTGATTGATATGTGCTGTTTAACGTTCCATAACCACCATATGATTATGGGAGACGCCATATTCGAGGGCTCAGGTAATTTCGGCCACCTGGGGTTCTTTGTTTTGCTCCTCACTATGAGCATACGGGCCTTCAGCATTTTCGCTTCTATTGAAAATACAGCCGCCGCAACCGGAATTTCATCCCGGGACTCACGGGTGAGTAGTCGAGTACCTTAGCTACTAAACCTCCGCGGCAACGCCGCAGTCTTTGAAACTACATGAACAGCCACATCAGAATTCTCGCTTTGTCGCCTGCATCTGTTTGTGTGCATTTCACCGACGTAGTTTCTGCGACGAAACTGTCAGATATATGTAGACCATGGCGTAAAACACTTTCAGGTTCAAATTTGGTATGTCACACAAATCTTCTTTCGGCAGCACTGTACTTAAAGGAGGTAATCACAGTCTTTGGAGTGCCGTTTTGGGACCGCAACAGCACGAGATACATTGCAGCTGGTCCCCAGCACTCCGGCACGTAACATGTATACATGTAACCAAAAGCTTGCTGGAAGGCACGTCTCACACAAGAAATTCGCACACTTTAGATATTCTTTCTACAGGCAGTCCACCCTGTTGGGTTTACATCATTTCGTGCAGAGGGCTCTCTTTGCACTTCATCAAGCTTATTAAAACAAATTGGTCACATAAATTGGCATCGTGATGCACTTATTTTGTAGAGCAGGTACACACTCACGCAGGTCACAATTTTTAATGTTGTATGCCTTGGGGTTCACCGATACATCTGAAGCAATGTGTCTGCAAAAGTTTCTTTTTCACAGTCAATAGAATACTCAGACCAACAACAGACCAATACACACCAATAATGGAGAAAAATTGCTTTCCGTCACCATGTCTTCCCATATAACCTTTACTAAGTGCCTATGGAACTTACATGAAGGTTCTAACTGTGTGACTATGTTGCTCTTTTGATAAAATCAAACAGAAGCTCATTGCTTAGACGCTCAGAAGCTCTTTCAATCATATCAATCAGCGGAGTGTGAGGTCGATTGATTTGTGCACGCGTTCACGCCCCGCACGGCCTTCTGAAACGCTGTGACGTTTTCGATCAACAAGTCACACTGGTGGAACCAGGCTTTCCGTTAAGCGCCACTTTGTGTGTCATATGATACATATTGCGTTCTTCATTAAACCAGCATAGATTAGATCAGATTACATGGCCTTAAGTGACTTGCAGCAGTTTTTCTGTAGTGATGATAGCGAATAGAAAGCATCTTCAAGCCGCTTAAGTAATATCGTCGCTAAGACATGGCTGTATACTCTCCTGAAGAACTTGTACGATTTAACTAGAACCATTCTCTTAAAGAAATAAAAAATCACGTCATATCCACGGAGTGAATGATGATATGTGGGGCAAAGCGTCAGTCAACCCAGTGCACGCTTCCGTCCGTCCACGCGACCATTCGTGCATCCATCCATGGGTTCGTGCGTCGATCCACGCGTCCATCCGTTTGTCCATGCGTCCATCCGTGGTTCCGTCCATCCTTCTGTCTGTTGGCGCGTTCATCCATTCGTACGTCCGCACGTCTATCCGCCTGTTTGTCCGTCTGATATTCTGTCTGTCCGTACGTCCGTCTGTGCGTCCATCTAGAGAACACAAGTACGGTCATCTCCAATCTCGCAACCCCTGTGGCTCATACCTGCTCTAGAGTGGGTATGTGCCACCATTTGCTTGTACTACTTCATACAAGCAAGGGATGGACAGACCCGCGCCTTAATTAGCTTCGCCCATAAAATGAGCCAATATTTGTTTTTTGAGCGCTCATGTGAAAGCTCATGTGAACGCTATGGTCTGTGCTCATGATATTGCAGTTTTACAAAGAGCGAGAGCATGTGCAAAGTAATATTTGTCCCCTCAAAATTCCGCTAAAATAGCTGCTAAAATCAACTATGAAGCATATCAAACTGTGACTTTCGTGCACATAAAGGGCAAAGTACGAATGAACTGGCCCTCGAAACGTGTTTCCAAATTCGCAGAAATTTCTTCGATAACTCCTGAAAAATTTGTATTTATTTTTTTACATCCTTCCTTTCATAGTGCCATTGAACTCTAACTTCCTGTCGAGAAGGTTATGATGAATAGAATATATGCAGGCTCGCTTACACCTTTTCTGCACTCAAAGGTTCACGTCGAAATAGTTGTACGTGCATTATTTCTTGCATGCCACCGATGGCTTTCAACACCCTTTGGTTCTGGGTATTTTTTCTAGTTGCTGTAGCTATACCTTCACTTCTGGCAGTTGAACAAGAGGTAAGTTATGGATTTTATGTTCTTTAAGTACATTTTCGATGCTATTTCTCAATGGTTGAATAATATAATTGAAAATATACCTTTACATTTAGTATAGCAATATCAATAATTTGTGTAAGTAAAAAGACAACGTTATGACTACGATGTTTAATCCAAAATCAAGATGGGAGCCGATAGTGGGACACATGTAGTGGGGTAATCAGGGCGAACAGTGGAAGTGCCTAAAACAGGCTGACGTATCTTTTGATAGGAGGACCTATCTTCGTCGAAGGCACCTTGTCGTCCTTGGCGTGTTAGCTTTAAGGCAATCAGTAGTGACGTCACCTCATTGTGGTGGCGTGTGGCCCTGTTAGTATTTTCCGCCTCAAATACAAAATCTACAAAGTGGAAGAGTGCAGCCCTCACTTAATTTCAAGTTACGCTGCAATGTTACAAAGTGTTCTCTTCGCGAAGGTTGGGGAAAGGGGAAGCAAAAAAATAGGTGAAAAAAGAAGAAAAGAATAAAAGGATTGGAATGCAAAGTAGGAGCGGTGTGCTACAAAACGGTGGCCGCTATAGACACGAACTCATTGTAAGCGTAACAAGTTCGCAGTGCCAAGACTATCTTGGCGTGTACCACTGACCCGAACTGCTTCCTTATGAAAACTACGAGGCGTAAAACTTCTACCAACTGTAATCAACCAACTTGAATGTGAAGTAATGACATTAGCGACGGCAATACGATGTGTATTTGTTAGCGTACGGTTGCGAAATATAAAACTTGAAACATCCACGAACCTTTCCACTTTCAATGTGGAGCGTACAATCTCTAGTTTATTATCGTCATTGCTTTCGAAATATAGGTTTTTAACTACAAACACTGTTATTTTAAAGTTGGTAGGATGCGTATCACGAGATTGTGCAAAGGAATAGGAACAAAGAGCAGGGGAGATGTTATGGGCCTGTATACCGCATCAAAGTGAAGTGTACATTTTTACTAGTGGTCATTGGGCGGCACTCTGCAACACTCTATGTTAGTAGCCTTTTTTTGTGACACAGTTGTTTTATCGGGACTAGGACATACAGATCAGTTCGGTGGAAGAAATTGGCAAAATTAAGAGGTATGAATCCGCGGATGTAAGTGCTCGTCTGATTCCAGTAACTATAGCAAACTGCTAGACCAATACTTGTGCATGCAGCAATTACTTTTTATAGTACGTATCCACATGCTTACACACATAACATAGGCGATTGAGTCGTTACTATACTTTAAAAAGATATTGTTCACATGCCTATATTGTGGAAAATCAGGAGTCGTCGATGCCGTCTGTTTGCTACAAGCCCTGATGAAATCATGGAGTGAAAGGTACGCATTCAGACGAAGTAAAACGCATGAATACGACAAGACAAAAGGCATTCCAATTACAGAGCCCAGACAAATGCACGAAACTGCTTTATAAATGACTTTGTGTCAGCGTTATTTCAGAAGAGCAGTCGCAATAACACATTGGTGTGTGACAGAATCATACAATAGCACCAGGCGAAGCTATTCAACGATTAACGTACGAATGCTTCAACGATATCGACACCTTACTTAGACGCAACGGTCATTTCCTAATATCATCAAAAGCAGTAGCGTCAGGACCTCTTTGGTTAAGGAAACCGAACACATCAAGATATGTCTGCCAGCGTTTTCGAACTTTGAGTGCTCCTAGGAACAAAAAAAACCAAACAGTTCAGCCGAGCGTCTTTGTTATGATCACGAACAATGACCTGCAGCCCTGTAACGTGCCCACAACTTGCAAGTAATAGCGAATGTAATCTCCCCATTAAGATAAATTCTATAAACGCACACTTACACTCTAGCTCTACTGTAAAGGTATGTAAAAGTCATGGTTGCATTTCTGTGCATACTGGGGTAATTTAGCTGATATGCAGGGGTGCTATCACGTTGCCTGGATCTCGTCATGCTGCAGCCCTGAGACGACAGCGCCATTCTAGCTTTGATTGAGAAGTGGGGTTTAACATCCCAAAACCACCATATGAATATCAGAGACGCCGTAGTGGAGGGCTCAGGAAATTTAGACCACCTGTGGCTCTATAACGTGTACCAAAATCTGAGCAGACGAGCCTACAACATTTACGCTTCCTTCGGAAATGCAGCCGCCGCAGCCGGCATTTGATCCCGCGATCTGCGGATCAGCAGCCGAGTATCTTAGACACTAGACCACCGAGGCGGAGCGCCATTTCAGCTTTGTCCGCCCATGATCTTTATTGTCTTCGTCGCTTCAACTAAAAACGTCTTTCGCGCTCGCTACTAAGTCACTCTTTTGAACTGTAAAAATAACTACGCAATGCCCATATTTTCGCAAAGCTGACACAGTAATTCCCCTTCTTGAAACATTTTGGCGTGTATTTGACTTTTTCTGATCTTCTGCTGGGGCGAAAATGAACTGAGCAGCGCCACAATACCACAAAAAATGCATCTCAGGTCTATTCGCCTCTGAGAAGAATAGAATTAAGAGAAAGGTGGACAAGATGCTCATTGGATCATAACTGAACAACCGTGTAGCCCATACACGTACCCATGTATTTGTTCTGTAAGACCAGTTGGAGATTCTGTATAAGCCGCTGGTATTTGTACAAGATCTCCAAAACCGTGTTATACGAGCTACCACGCATAGATGAGACTTTGAGTCAACTTCACGGAAATAAATAAATTTCTCAGTTCAAGCTGGCCATTGAAAAGAACTCTTTTGTGCTTCCGCACGTTTTCGACCAACTTAAGTTTATATCCTTCTGGCTATGCAACCCTCCGGCCACCTGCGAGCGGATGATCAACACTGTTCTCTGTCACTCTAACAAGTAAATCTACCCGAGTTTCCTTGATAATAATATAGAATTTTTCACCAACCTTCCAATCCGCCCTAATAATCTTCCACTTTCTCTGTTATTCGCAATGCATCAGAGTCCCGTTTTACATAGCAGTAACTCATGATGGCTGGCCACCTTGTCAACTTGTTTTGGTGTACGCACCGACCCTGGTTAAATAGTACCTAAGCAGAATCTGATAGTGTATTTTTGCACATAGGATGCCGTACCTTTCTCGGGCTGTGCTCACACTTTAAGTGCCCTGCGAAGACATTTGTAAACACTGCACAGGCCCTCATGCACCTAATGAAGACAAATATGCCCTTCTTCTTGGGCGCTGTGTAGGCCACAATATTTCTGCGCTCATTACTTTGACAACAACATCTACTGTTGGCGCACTTGAGGGGTTCACCCCGAACAAACGACCCACTTGAACGGTTTCACACGGATTACGACCATCACGAAAAGGGTTCTATCTTGGTCCAGCATCAAGCAGAGGGAGCCTGCATTATAGCCAATGTCGACAGTCTCCTATCGGGTGCCAAAAGGAACTACTCATTCACCGAAAGGGAGTGCCTTGCTATCGTTTGGCTGGGAGGCACATTTTGGCCATACTTGCACGTGAAGATTTCTTGGTCACTGCAGCTCTGGATAGACTAGACGATCGGCCTTTGTCGGAACAAAGGATTCTGGGTCATTGGCCGAGCCCATCCTCAGCCCAGAAGGCTTTGAAAGCTTTGCTGCGCTTTTCGCGTACAACTGGCCTCAGAGACAGACTTTAGTGTCTTATACTCTTTGATGTTGCCTTTCCTCTGCCGCAATTTTTATTTTTTTGTAATTTCTCCCTGCCTTCGCAACATCTCTTTTTAACATCTTTCATTCCCCTCACCCCTTTCCCCAGCACAGGGTAGCCAGCCGGTAAAAAACTGGCTAACCTCCCTGTCTTTTCGCTTAAACTTTCTTCCTTCTTCTCTGGTCATAAACAGTAGATGGCGCATTCTTCCACCTCAGGTCCTGAAAGGATGCCATTAGGCGTCTTTTGTCGCTGTGCACTACGGCTTAAGAAATAGAAGTGCGTGGCGATCTCCTATCTGGCCGCTTAGAGCTTCGTGCTGATAGCTGGTCCCGTCATCAGTGAGCTCTCCCGAGGTTTTTCTTGAAGAGCCACCATGTGCGCTGTCAATCTCTGTATTGTGCAGTACTAGCAATTAACTGTGCGCAGATCCTTTTTTATATCACAATTTCTAGAAGATACAATCTACGAAGCTCAATCAGTCCACTCGTCCGTTAATAATGCTTTAGGACAGCCCAACGTACCATCACAGCGGCGACAGAAATTAACGCGGATGGCTCATGATAGCACCTTGCCACCTAGGCGTTAGTCTCATCGGCCAGTTATTGGAGAGACACACTTCCGGTAATCACGATGTCCCTCGAATGTGCGACCATTGGAAATGTCGAGATTACTGGCCCCGTTCTTATCACTCTGTGTGCAGCTGAGTGATGTACGACCAGCGTCGAACGTCACCGACAACATTAGGTGATCCCACGAAAAACCTTATGCAGTTACTTGACGAACGTTTGCCACCTTTTTCTTCGGTTGCCTTCAGTTCCTGACATCTTTCCCTATCTATTTCTGGTAATCAAGAGGGTAAAGGTTTCGACAATTTACACCACCTGTCATGCGATTGCACAGAAGCTACTAACCTGTGGTGCTGCAAATATTAGGTGTTTTCTTCCTCCCGTAAGAAGTTTTCGTCAACCGTGGTGCCCCCCCCCCCCTAACGCCGCACAGATTGTGGACGCTTTTGTTCGCATATTTTGAAAACCCGCTTTGCTGATGCGTGATAAATATTATGTTTAAGACAGTGTGCCATCCATCATATAATGAAGTTACTTAACAATTCAATCATACTAGCTGGTATGCGCTCTATGTATGTCTCCTATGGCCATGAAAACAGAGACGTAGCATTATTCGTTTTTTATACTAGCTTGTAACTCCACGAGACACAACACCAGTACTTTTTATCGCGTTATTTTTTTTATTTTTCCGCAACAAAAACTCACTTTTGCAGAACATTTTCACCGGAGACCTTGATTCATCGACTGAATAACGCCGTGAAGCTATCACTATATAGACCACACAGCCCCAAAATTTGTCTGTCAGCGTCTTATAGCATCACAAGATTATGAGCAGCAGCGGTACGAGAAGCCCCAGGACAGCCTTTTATTTACCCTGCTTTCCGTTGAGCTGCTGTGGATACCGACGCGGCATGTTGGACTCTGAAAGACTGTTTTTTGAGGGTGTATTCTACTGGGTATTACTAAGCCCTGGTCAGTTGAAACGTGAGGGAAAGAACTCATTTCGCTGACTACAACTACTGTTCCAGCACCTCCCCGTCCCCTTAGTGCTATCATCTGGGGAACATCTTATCAGAATATCGCACACTGCAAGAGACGTCAAAGACGACATTATTTCCGCGTGTGGGGCGCTCTGTTCAAAATCTCGTCTGACATAGTGTAGGGCACAGTGTATATATGCTTTCACGCTTGAGTGCCTTCAAGTAAAACATGTTCATGGTCCTTTCGGGGTATTACGCCTTATCAGTTCTGCGGCTCTTAGAGACGAAAACTGCTCAAAATTACAATAGCAGTAGTGCATTTGTCCGCCGTTAATTGTGTCCTTAACAGCAATCGTGAGAAATAAGTAGAAATAAGAAAATATATCATCGATAGGATGGAGCTTGAACCCGAAATATCTGGTGGCAGTCGAGTATTCTACCAAAGAGACACCCGAACACTTGAAGCTGCTCTGCAAAAAGCACCAACAGAGGTGCCAAGCCGGGTGAGGAATCGGCACGGAAACGAGTGAGCCAGCGTGGCAGAAGTGTAAAAAAAAGTGACCAACCATCAGACAATGATAATTTCGTGACCACTACATGGTTTTATGCTTGTCACCCACTACGCACTGCTAAACTGTTAATTCTCGCCGTGATCCGTCGGATACAGCATCAACAAAGTGCAGATGATGTCTCGCAGATGTATCGCGAGTACCTCGACTGTAGACATAAAAGACCACGCAAATCACGATGGGTGCTTGCCTACTTGACATTAAGGCTGGTCATGGAATACTGGATAAAATCAATATCTGCTCTGAGGGCCACTCTTCACATGCCACTTGCACTGTGCAGCGCACTCCACGCAACTTGGGATTCGGGCGCGACAACTGTCATGACTTCACAACAACAGCCAATTTTGGCGCCGTAGTCGCCCGTCGCAACCAGCGTCCGTTACCGCTATTGCAATAAAAAAAACTAATGAAATCAGAAGAGATAGCCGAAATCACATGGCATTCGAACTAGCCCTTTACGTTGAAGTTCGGTATTCTACCAAAGGCCCTCTTTCATGCTTGAAAATGCTTCGCAAAAGTATTGTATAATAACGTGATGTCAAGGAAATAATCGTGTGAACAGATGTATTACGTCGTGATAGATTTATATTCATATTCAAATAGGCCTCGCGCTACCTGTTGACTCGTTATTGATTCTAACTCCTTATACTTGGTCCAGCATTAAGTATTCATCAAAACGAGACACAGCTTAAACACTAATAATAATCGTTAGAGTTTAACGTAAAAACCCATCTTATGGACGGCTCCGGAAATTTCAACCATCTGGGGTTTTTCAACGTGCGCCTCAATCTAAGTATACTGGCCTGAAGCATTTTCGCCTCAATCGAAAATGGGGCCGCCGCGGCCGAGAGCCGATTTCGCGATCTGTAGGTCAGCAGCCCAGTGCCTTTTCCATTAGGCCACCGTGAAGAGTTTTAGAAGCCCTTCACAAAGGTGTAGCGGGCAGCACACTTCTTCGAAAAGCGGCGCCACGGTGGTCTAGTGGCTAATGTACTGCTGGCCTGAGTGTTGCAGGATCGAATCCCGGCTGTGGCTGTTGCATTTCTGGTGCAGGCGAAAATGCTGTAGGCCCGTGGGCTCAGGTTTGGGTGCATGATAAAGAACCCCAGGAGGTCGAAATTTCCGGAGCCCTCTACTACGGCATCTCTCATAATACTACAGTGGTTTTGGGACAATATACATCACATATCATCGTCATCACTTTTCCAAAGAATAATAAATAAGGCATAAGAGGTGCTTCCCGACATCATTAAAATCACACTGCATTATGGTGTAGTGGATACGTTTTATTTGTACTTGATTTAGTTGGCTTTAAGAGCCTCTACAACTATCCGTCGCGGAGCATAATTACCGGCTTTCTCCCACTGTTGACGTGAAGGTAGCCGGTTCGAACTTGGATTTAGTAGCCCCGCCACGGTGGTCTAGTAGCTAAGGTACTCGGCTGCTGACCCGCAGGTCGCGGGATCGAATCCCGGCTACGGCGGCTGCGTCTTTGATGGAGGCAGAAATGTTGTAGACCCGTGTGCTCAAATTTGGGTGCACGCTAAAAATCCTGGTGTTCGAAATTACTGGAGCCCTCCACTACGGCGTCTCTCATAATCATGTGGTGGTTTTGGGACGTTAAACCCCACATATCAATCATGAACTTGAATGTGGTGGTTACTTCACGAAGGAGGCAAAATGGAAGATGTTCTTGCGCTGTGTGATGTCATTGCGCGATAAAGAACCCCAGGTGGTTGAAATTTCCGAAGCCTTCTACTACGACATCTCTCATAGTCATAACGTGGCTTTGGGATAAAATGCCCTAAATATTTTATTAGCATGTACACCGTGGTCTAGAAGAGGCCATTCTTCCCACTTTGGCTGTAGCTGTGCCTTGTGATCCGCGCTGGCCTAGCTGTTTCTGATAAAACTTGGCTATTTCTGATAAGGCCTGGCTATTTCTGATAAATCGCATTTATGTGCAGTAAATAATCACGAAATACTTGCATTGTTCAACATCTTCCTGAAGTGTGGCAGCTTAGGCTAGTTGGTATGACATGACGATAGCTATAGCACGAGAACAGAACGACGACACAAATGATCTGTGTCATCGTTCTGTTTTCGCGCTATTACTATTGTCATCCTCATAAAAGCTAGCATGGGCAGCCAATAAATGTGAAAGAAATCACTGTCCATAAAACCTCAAAGAGAGCCCGTATAAATGTAAGCCATTTTCACAACCAGCGCTGAACACGCAAAAATGTCATGAACGTTCTTCACCGTCTCGTATATTATATTGGCGTAAGCACAATATACCCTTTTTATGCCTTTGGGTCACATGGTTACAAATGTGCTGCAATATAGAGGCAAACATCCGCCAAAAAACTTACGTTGGGCTGTGGTGAATTACTATGATTTCACGATTTCGCTAATCACAGCGCAACTGACTGATTTTTCTGTTGTTTTAGGATGCCGGTTCAGCACAATCTACTCCACGCAACGCAGTATGGTCATGGCCGATTGTGGTAAGACAATCGAATGGGTCATCCCACATTAGCGTGAAGGACACTGCAAAACCTTCGTCGGTGTTTATAATGTTACGGGCTCTGCGTAGGACTAGGTCGCTGTACTCGCAATGATATTCACAGCTATGAGCGTGTTATTATTGAATATAATTGAGCCAACTATTGGACAAGTTAGTCGAGAACGCCTGCAGAGCATTTTAAAGCTGCTCGAGCCATGTATCAACTGGGTTACAACTGTCCTTGCACTCAACAGGACATTACAAATATAACACTTTTTAGGCCCTACTCTGATTTACCGACATGATAAGTTTAATTTCTGATGATGGCTTTAAAAATGTAAGAGCAAACAACGGACAATCCTGTCGCACAAAATGTGCGCTATGCTTGCGCCAATGCTCCATATAATTGTTATTACTCACTTTTCTGACGTCAAGTAGCTCTAGAGTGGTTCCAATAATCGAGTTTCTCATAAATCTACGCATTTGTATCGCTAGTTCTTAATTTCAAAACATTGAGATAGTAGAAAATTACGTTAGAAACTCTGGCGTCGCTGCTGTAGCAAGCGTTACGTCTTAGTATGCTTAATGTTCACATTGCGTGAGAATATTTTCCCTGCTTGAGCGCAAAGCACCTAGCACAAATCTATTCCACAAGTGAAAGACCAGCCCGCTCAGGGAGAGCTGCATTTTTTTATTATGCTGCAGTGGAGTGCAGAAGACAAGAGGACGATATAAGCATCAATCATACGGCCTCGAATTCGCTACAGAGTAAACAGCAATATATGTGTACGCGTACACAACTTCTGCTGGAATCGATCTCTGCATTTTCGAAATGATATCACATGCAGTTCCTTTCCCGTCAGGGCACAACATGACATTGCTAATCACGAAGTTTCACTAACAATAAACAAAAGTACGCTCAACCAAAAAAGTTACTTTCAGCACTGCGTAACCTACAGAGTCCTTTGACCAATTGTAAGGACAAACAATGCTCATGATGTATTCAACATGTCATATCGCCAGCTCAGCATCCGCCTTGCGTCTGCGCGAATGCATAGGTGAGCAGAGTGCTCGGCGAAAAAAAAAGTGGGGTTGTAACCATCAATGCCAATTCACCCCACATTGAGTTCATGACGTCCTTTTCGTGCGCTGTATGCCTTTTAAGGTCTAAACTGCAGTATATATTTGCTTTCGGGAAATTACGAAACTGGGGCTTGAACAGCAGTGTTTGCGAAGACACTTGAACAGCAATGTGTAATCGGAACTGCATTGCATTTTTCTTAAAAATCGTTATGCAATTCTCAGGGTGTTATATTTTGCAGGCTTACTAAAAAGACAGCTGATCTAGTGTGGCGAATCTCTCAACATCGACATCAATAACGTTGCACGGCAAAAATGATGTGAAAATGGACGCCTTAGAATTGCGCACAAGTAGCAGTTCTTGCCTATGGAATGCAGTGACTAGTTTCCTTTCTCAGAAGGTGGTCGATGACGCTTAGGCAATGGCCATCGCAAATGAGTGAATGAGAAACGAGCACTTGATCAGCGGTGATCCGAGTCGGAGTGCCTGTGTTCAGATGCAGATGTAATGGCATGTTGCGGCGCTTAGGTAGGAGTTCCAAAGGAGGCGTACGCAGGTGTGGGACAGCGGCGGCAGACGCGTGCAATATGGCTAGCGATGCCACACGTAAGGCAGATAGGGCAGATGTCATGGGGGCACCACGCATCAAATGGACGGAAAAGCGAAGTGGGGGCCTGTAAACTGGAAGCGAGGCGGGATGATGTGTTGCAGATAAGGAGCCTATAAATGCGGCTGTGGCCGCGTGACCACAGCTGAGAGCAGAATTTGGCACAGGTGGTGTGTAGCTGGTAGTCGAGAGATGAGATGGAAGTGCACGGGTAAGGGCCCGGAACTGCTGGGAGGGAATCGCGAATTTCGTCACGTATAGCCTGTTGCAGTTTCAAAGGCAGGCTTGCGGAGGGCGCGTTGCTATCGGGTGACATCCTCTCTGATAATTTCGTAATCTGGTTGGATTGAGTTTCTCGGTGAACGTTGCCGTTTGCGACTGCGACGACCGAGATCTAACCTGGAGGTGGGACACTCTGCCGGGTGAGAGAACGCTGATGGCGCAATACATCAATGTTCTGGCTCAGGCTGACGACGACTGCCACAGTGGTCGGGCTTTTCACCAGCAAAGGTTTGAATGTGTTGTCTTAGATACCCTTGAGAATGTGTTCGACCTTCTCTTCTTCAAGCATAGATGGGTTAACACGCCTGCAGAGGTCGAGCACATCCTCAATGTTACTGGGAAGCGTCTCGCCAGGCTGCTGTGCTCGGTGGCGTAGACACCGCTCAGTGTGAAGCTTGCGGACAACTGGTCGGCCGAGCGCTTCGGTCACGAGGGTCATGAAGGTGAATCATTCGGCGATAGCGGTTTCACGGTTGGTGCACCGAAGCTTAGCGACGTCAGCCAAATAGCAAATAACGTAGACGAGCTTTGAGTCGTGTTACCACTTGTTGGTGGTAGCGCCGGGGCAGGGAAACGAGGCAGCCGGTGGTGCTGGTTTTGCTGGGGCGAGCTAGGTAGTGGCTAACTCTGTCATGTCATGCGGTCGTCTCTCAGCCAACCTGCGATAGTAGAACTCTAAGTCTGCGTGGTGATTTCAGCGTCCTCCGCCAAATGCGATGAACCAGAGAAGTCACAACAGAGTCAAAACGCAAAAGGGCCGTACGGCAAGGCTGGGAAAGGTGACACAGGTTCTCACACAATCAGAGCACGAGGCTTTTAGTCCTCATCCGAAGGCACATACGAGTTGGTATATATGCTCAACTACAACAAAAATGACAGAGCGTAACTTATGTTGGCTCCAAGCAATGGCTCATTTCAGCATCCATGCAGGTGTTCGAGTTGCCACGGGTGCTGCCATGTTAATATTTATTTGCGGTTAGCGGTAATTCTTTATATGAGGATTACACAAATGGGACCTAATTGTTATGAAGCATAGACATATCACGTGCAAACGTTAATCAGCACATGATAAACAGGAGGAAATGTCTTAATCCTGCGTTATAAAATAATTATGTTTGCATATATGTCTCACGGAGCTAGCACGTACCTTGTTTACGGCCCGTGGCTTCGTGAGTGCCGAACGGCAGTGGTAGCCATCTCACCGAAACGTATGGTAACGACAGATAAAGCAGAACGCTTGGTGCCTATCGGAGGTCATTACTGCCTGTGATACTTCTCCGGCAACGGACAATGAGAACGGGGCAGTTGTTATCTACCATTGTGTTGCCAGGGATCAAGGCTTGAGCGGCTGCGGGACAGTTAATAAAGACGATAGTCTTTCTTGGGGACCTTCGACGCAAACATTTTGGTCTGTCTGTCTGTCTGTACATTTGCCTGTTTATTTACTCTTTACGGTACCCTAAAGGTACGACATTTGCGGTGCAACATGCAGATACGGGGCCAATGTTCTAAGTTGCCCTTTTTTGGCGGTGCCCGTAAACTGCGTGATAACTCTCGATGACAGCACCCAATCACGACTGCGGTTTCACCAGGGGTGGTTGCAACAAGCAGAAGATTCATTTCCGCAAACATTTTTGAGATATCCAATCTTCCATTGTGATTTCCTCTCGCGGTTGCGCCCTGGGTATTCATTGAACTCGATATGCCCACGTTGCACGCGTACCTCAAGAAATGCTTGAATGGCTGCCTCGCATAGCGTCATTCATCATCACCAAGACTAATGATTGTTATATTTTAACGTTTTCAAACAACAATATGATTATGAGAGACGCCATTGAAAAGGGCCCCGAAAACTTTCCACCCCCTTGTGTTCTTTGACGTATACCTAAATCTAAGTACACGGACCTCGAGCATTTTCGCCTCCGTCGAAAGTGTGGCCGCAACGACTGGTATACAATCCAGCGACCTGCGGGTCAGAAGCCAAGTGCCTTAGCCACATGACTGCTATAGCAAATAGTTAGGCATCACTGTTTCATTCATAGCAGTAGCGATGCTCAGTAACTTTGTTTGCAGTTGATGTAACGCGCAATGTCAGAAAAGACTGAAGTGATGTAAACTGTCAAAGGCAAAGAGCATTTCAACCGTGGTCTAAATTCTGACATAAAACTCACTCGCAACATCGCGATGCACGACAGGCGATGCGCGTCATTTATCTTGTGAAAGAAGCTTTTTGCACGCCTGCAAACCAGCGTTGAATGTGGGGGTACGAAACTAAGAAAGAGTGCATAGCAGCTTCCAGGTTACTTAAGTCACAGGAGTCTTGCGCCGCGGGCCCATTGCGAGCAATCTGGCAGTGTGATCGAAATTGCCGCTTGAATTTGCTATTAAATGAATAAAATAGGTGAATTACTTGCGTTTTCAAGACAAAATAACAATACAAAATAACGTTAATAGTTCATTGCTTTCTTCGGAGCTTTAGTTATTATGAACAGACTAATAGTCCCACGAAATCCCCTCTAACGAATTGTTACTGTGCGAACTGCAAAATACTATATTCGCCTATATAAGCCCTAAATGAGCTGGTACACACAAAAACAGCTCGTGTCGACTCACATATGTAATTCCTGGTCCATGTATATGACAAAGTCTACAAACAATGATGTCACGAAGTCTCAGAATGTCCTTAGAATTGGCGAGATATTCTCGCACAAAGCCACAATACATTCTCACAATTTGAGAATACGAGAAATGAAAGCAATGAACAGTTAAGCTATGGAATGTATACAAAACAATGCCTTTTCCGTTTTCGGTGCAGTGACTACGACCCACACAGAAGGAAACAGAGTGGCCAAAAAAGCGCTTTTTGTTTCGATAGCGTTAAAACCTACAATCTCTTAGCTACAAATTAAGGTACGACATCGCACGTGTACGCGTAGCGCTGTAGGTTAAAATTCCACATGTAGAAATGGCGCATTTTTATTAGTATAATTGCTTTTAGTTTGCTTTATGATCTTCATGGGAGAGTGATTTAGCGAGGAACACCGTCACCTAGCCTATCATTAGCTTGATTGCCTGTTCGTTACACTGGTTGTGTTTGTCCGAGAAATTACGCTTTTTTACAGTGTAAGTACAATGTAAAAATGCAATTGCAATTACAATGCAATTACAATTACAATGTGGACATACACGTTCTGGTGATAGTTACCACCTAACAAGGCTATATTGTTGAGGATATCGTTTCACGAAAATTCATGTGAGAGCATTGTAGGCAATCCTTGTGAACAAAACTGAGCGTTGTCGTAGAGCGGAAATTCAAGATAGGCGCAAGTAAATTCGAAAAATAGTCATTGGTGAGTTCAATAATGAATCCAGTACTCCTGTGTGGCTAGTGGCTGTTCCAGTGCAGCACCATGACCATTCTAGAAGTTGTTGCTTAGTGCCAGTAGTTACTCATAGATGCAGTGTTGCAAGGCAGAACCATTAAAATATACCAGGCGTCATAAAGCGGTGAGTTAGGAAGCGAGTGGTTGCTATGAAGAATTAATACTTACATAGCACACAAGCATAAATGAATAGTATTACCAAAAGCCACCTCATTTCTTGCATTTATTATTCATGTACGTTCGCATTCTTTCAATCTCTATGCATTATTACCTAAATGACACTAAATGGAAAACTATTTTCGTGTATTAGGATTTAAGGTTCGACAATCTAGAAAACACTACCCTTACCGTAAGAAGATGCTTGGCAAGCGACTAAATACGCGAAAAGGAAATGTGGGTGGAGACGGCACCTTGAGATTCCCAAACCAAACACCTTGACGTGGAAGATTTTGACCACGTCTACTGCATCCTACGCAGCAAAATTAAATACATTGTCATTTGTGCTTTCCACAGTCCTAACATACGCTGTTTCAGAAAGTTTCATTCTGAGAATGTCGTTGAATGTCGCAAAAATATGAAAATTTGAAAACAATAGCGTCATGGTTGTAGATTTCAGTTCAAATATAAAAAAACATTATCCCAGTGTTTTCTAAAATAATTACTTTTTAAAAGCATATACCAAGTAATTGCATTATTTTAGTGTTCCTTTGACATTTTTTATTGGCATTTTTTCTCTCATATTTATTCTATCCTTGTGTTGTATCTTGAAGTATGAATGTTTATTGAACGCCGTTTTGTTCGCAATTTCGTACTTATGAACACGTATTTTTTAACAGAGGTCAACTATCATTTTTGTTCTGTCAGACTTGCTTGTGCATATTCTACCCCTGATGTGTTTATATACTTAGTTAAATACAAAACTATTACGATTTTTATTCAACCGCATGTTTCACGTCGCAGGGTCAAGCGTTGTCCTGTACACACAAAAGAGAACCCTCATCAACACGCAAAAAAAGAATCCTACTTCACCGCTGAGCTTACAGTAGGCGTTTCACAGCAGTTACAACGGGCCGGTATACAGGTGCACTTTTTTTCCGTCAGAAGTGTGAGCAGCGTTTCCGGGCAGCAAGGCCACTCGCTGTCTTGGTGGTGCGAAGTTACGCCAATGGGTGCTGTTCAAGCTCCCACTGACAGGTGACCTGTCACCGTGAATACAACCTCCACATTCCACTTCTCTAACCTTGCCGCCAGCCCCACAGACAGATTTTCGAACAGCACAGCGCAGCTGCGGCGTACCATCGCACCACTTTTTATCATGGTCAGCGCCGTAACAGCACCGAGCTGTGTGCTATTTCCTGCAATCCTGCCGGCCCTGAGCGCCAGCAACGTCATGTTAGATGCAGCGATCTCACAAGGCTTTGAGGTGTGCTCTCCCATGCAGCGCAGAAATCTCAGGTGCATCCTCATGCAGCTCTCAGACCAGCTGGGATGCTTCGCGTTGGTGACCTGTGCATTTTCACCTACCTTCTCAACATTGCTGGTCGTCTGTGAATTACCGGAATTCTACAGTTTCCAGAACAATACCGAGCGCTCGATGACAACTGTGGATGCGTTAGCAGTGCAAGAGGCCTGGACGGAGCATGAGAAACGGCTCGTGGTGCTAGACCACCTTCGGGCAGGTGCTGCGGTGAGGCACCGGAATGAAGGCGTGCAGCAGCAGTGCTGGGCGGAGCAGACCTTCAAGCTCATCCCTGTTTTTGGAAGGGCACCCCCCGATATCTTTGCCACCACCTAGTACAACGTGACCGCTACCGATAATGCCCCGCAAGAAGGGTCTCACTTCAAGGCTGCAGTTGTGCATTGCAGCTCAACATATGAGGTTTCGGACTCGTCGGTACTCGACTCAAGTACGGCACCATCACTGTCAATTACCGAATACCGAGTGAGTTTTCATATTTGTATGGACCTCTAACCATCACAACCAGACCGGCCCCCGGGTAGCAGGGAGACCCTCTCGCACCAGTCGCTGCCACAACTTCGGACGCCACAGCAGTCATTGCCCGAGGGTGCTAGCTCCATCGAGGTGCCGCAGGCGGAGATAGCCGGCATCGGTAATACAATCTACATTACACGCAATTTTCCGTGTGATAACGCGCATAACATAACCACCCGGCAGCTGCGCCGACAACCCCGAAGCCGTTTTTGCCAGCATAGAAATTACCACCGAATATTAGGACAGAGACCAGCTCGGCCGAAGCAATCAGGTTCCATCAAAGAACTGTGATGACGTCGAGGTAGTATCGAAGAATCATTGCGTTCACGCATATAGGCGCAGTATGACCACAAAGGAAGAAAAAGCAATGACAGCAAGGCAAGTGAAGCCACGTCGAATCACAATCATGTCCCACAGTCGGTCCGCGCTCACAGGCATTTTGTCTGTGCAAGTATTTTCTGGCGCAACATCAGTTTCTACCAGGTTTGCGATGACCACTGTGGCACCCAGTATCGTCTACCAGGGTAAATTATGATCAAAGTACAAGTCATGTTGCAGCGTCGTAAAAACTAACCACCGAGAAAAGTTTCCGCACATACGCATTGTCAGGCAACTTCGACTACCGTAAGACTGCCTATTCCGTCCATTATACGAAAATGAAACCATTTTGCCTGCAAAACCGCAGCGTGGCCGAGGTCGTAGATGACCACAGCACAATCATTGTCGTCCCCCAGAGTCATCATCGGCCGAGGTATAAGCCAAGACCCAGGTTCTACAGAGACAATGCGACCGACCACGGTGATATTTCCAGACCAAGTCACGGCGTGGCCGCGCCCTCACTTCGAAACAGCCAGTGCTGTTCCCCAGAAACACTGTCAGAGACCCCCCTACGCAAGGTCATGTCCGACTGTGATTGCGAAGAACGACAGCGAGGTTTGTGTGTGCGATAAGCGAGAGCGAAGCAGAGGAAGAAGATATAGAGATTAGAACGGCCGGCCCAGGAAAAGGTTTTGTTGATGTGTAGTGGACAGGATGCTGATATCTTGTTAACCTCCCAGCCTCAGTTCCATTCACTCTCTCTCTCTATTTCTTTGTTCCTTACAGCACTGTTTCGGTATACATTCAGCATTGAATATAGGCTAGCAATTAAGAACGCACGCGAACAGAGACCGCTTATGCTATCGCGTTCTACATCTGAAGGCTAAGGGCAAGCATACTCCAAGTTTTCCTTTTTTGGAATTACATGTTTTGGCCTTTTGTCGGTGGGCGGCATGAACAGCGTGACACACGGTACAACGAGAATGAGATTTTAAGCCATTTTTACTGAGCGCATGACAATGACAATCTGCAGCTGACGATGGTGTTCTCTGAGAATAACAAACTTGAAATTTTAGACCTTGAGCTTTAGTTCAGCATGCACCTAGCTTGTTAAAAGAAGAATAGCGAAAGCCTACATGATGGCATCATCGTCAAAATCAGGTCATCACCAGGTTGACGGATGTTTTGGCAACAATGTTAACAGACTTAAGAAAGCATGCTTTCCTGAGCAGTAGCTGCCACGCATAGCACAGTCACTTCTAAATGAATTGAGGCAAGGGAAGAATACACAGCACAAATTTCAGGACGAGCCAAAGCCGAAAGTTTCTGCCATTCTTTATGTGCACGAAGTTTCGCACTGCCTTAAAAGAATTGTTGTAAAAACTGTGGTAAAGGTTGTTTTCACGGCCAAAAACAAGCAAGGCTCTCTATGTAAAACAGTGAAGTGTGAACGATCTTCAAGTGTTCGCTGTGAGAAAAAGCGCGCAAAAATGTTCGTAGAAGGAATTCTAGGCACCTCATTTTTTATGACGTTGTTGATACTACATCGGTTAGAGGGGGAGCTGTCCGAACGATCGCTTTAGGAAACATGCGAATCTGATGCGCAAATCAGTGGACGATCACCTGGAAAGAAACTATGCCAATTGTGGGAACATTTTGATGTTTGATGAATGCGAAGCAATGGTCAGATACAGGGACAAGAGGGCACGTGAAAGCCATGGAGGGTTTCTGATTCGCAAAGCAGGAACGGAACTCTGTGTGTATGTGGCGCGTCTTTTATTCTGTTGGAAAATGACTCTTTTCAGGTAAATGCTACTTTAACAAGTATTTAAAGTGTTCTGGCGCATCCGCCATTATTTTTTTTCTGTTTGTCAGCTCCTCGCCCTATTGACTGTGTATATTCATGCCATGTGTGCCATGAAATTGTGCGCGCTGTCCCATCTGCCTTTTTTCTGAAACTCTGTCTGCGCACTAAGAAAGTGTATTTTCTTTTTCAAAAATGCGATAGCAACCAACCAAATAGTCACGCTACTTGTTTCCGAAGGCGGATAAGCACGTCACTAAATGCAAACGCCTGCGTAAGTTAGATACTGCACTATAGATGACAAGATACAGTACTTTGATTTCAAGTTCAGTGTTCACCCATTATAACTATATGAGTTGCTGCACTAAGTAAGTTACTTTCTCCAGTTTATGCACTCCAAGGTAATCTATTTGAACTTATCAACGATGGAGTATCCTGGCATAAAATGCATTAAAGAATATCGGGAGACATGGAATCGTAGCGCTCGACTTCTGACTAAGGTGATGGTGACAGTGTTCACTTCTGAAGAGTGGTGAGTTGCCGTAACTGAACTGACGCTGTTATACTGATATGTAATGAAATTATTTCACTGGGAATTCACAAAACGTGAATGTAATAGAAACTATTATTGCACATCTACATTACGGTGGGTTCATAAATTGGGCACTGCCATGTTTGAGCGAGCGGATAATTAATTAGCCTTGCTGCTTGAAAGTAAAACAGCAGGAATCTGACAAGAAACTAAGAATGTGGGAAAGAAGCGTAAATATTGGGGTCCGTTTTCTTTGTTAGACACAATCATAACCATAACGAACGAAAAAAGGCTTGCCGCTAAATCTTTATTAGGAAAACGGAGAAGACACAGGACAGTGGACACAACCACTCCACAAACACAACACCACTGTGTCATGCTTCTCAGAAAATAATACTGTACAAAAAAGTATGCATATATTTTTTCTAAAAAAAGGAACAAAGAAGCACTTACGCACCAGAAGTCGTCCTTGTTAGTTACACGAGCTCCAGTTTTCTATATACTGTCGTATCACAGCCCCCTCTCCCCACAAAACTCTGTTTAGACAAAGAAATTAACCAGCGATCCCACTAGAGTGCAGAAAAGGCCAAGGCAGCACATTTGCATTGGTCGAATCTCACCCGAAAGTTGGAAAACAGTAGCAGAAATAGTGGTTCTACGGTCACTTTTGCGGTAAAGCTAACCCTAAATACGCATTCGTACAATATTGAATCGAATGGCCAATATTTGCGAAGATCGCTGCAGCCATTATTGTTGGTCCAAAATATCACCAATAATGTCAAAAATGGGTTTAGCTAGCATTATTTGGCTTACGCATCGCCAACGTTGTATTAATATTACCAGCTCTAATATGTGTCACTAGATTTTTTTTGTTGGCTGCGCCATCCATACTGTTTTGAACTTTTAGCTCTGGTTATTGCCAACATTTGCAATGGCTTTGCGAATATGTTTCCCAGGTTTTCTGCTCTATGTGCAGTTTGACACAAAATTTTTGCGCGCGTAAATGATGCATGTTTCTCACACTTTTGCATATGGGCAAGATGCAGGAATAATTCCTAAAACTTGTTGATAACAAACAGAAGTTTATGCTGAATTCATAAAGAGAACAAACGGTAAATCTACAACAGGTTTTTAAAGAATTGCACCAGTTGGGCTTGATTCTCCAGCTCTCTTGCTTGTGAATGACAGCTGCATAGTACCTACAAGAAATATAACAAATAACAATCTTGCATTATATATCGCGTTTAATGCACCGCTCATAATGACCGGTACAATGAAAGCTTAAAATTGATCGAGTATAAAGGGAAGCATCTGTGTCTACACTTGTGAAGAGGCATACAATACAGCTGTATTTTTATCTGCCTTGAACTAGCAAAATCAACACGACACATTTATTTAATAAATGGTGACTGCAACAAACAGATTCAACGATTGCGATATATTCACAGCAAGGTATTCAAAATTTGCGCGTTAGAAAGCCAGAGTGTTCTTGCCCGAAAACAGTAGTGTAGGGCAAATGAAAAATACAAGCTTAGCTGGCGCGCAGAAACGCAATAAAGGAACGCAAAAAAGTCACAGCTTTGCCGCGAAGGTGAAGCAATGAATGCAATAGCAACAAATTGAATTGTCACGCAAAAAGTGGCAAGCAGATTGAAGCGGGCGTCTTGCACACGCACAAATGACGCACAAAATGCACGTACAGGTTAAGATGAACGCGAATAGGTGTCTGAAATATTACTTCACTTTGTCCAAAAAGCGCGCCCTTTTCGTGGTAAACGGAAACATAGGAGGGAATACAGCGACATTTGTCTGTCCACTAATTACAACATAATCGTTGCGGTGGAAGCCCAAGGCGTAAAACTCTCCCTACTGTCCGATAGGCGCATGAACGCAGGAGTGTCTTGGCCCCCTCCCCCCCTCCCATTCAAGATGAACGCATCAGAGCACGACACCGCGTCGTGACTATCTGGCTACGCGCATTTATTGCACCGTCTCGCTGGCAATGGTGAAAACACGATATGTCCACTGTGGTCACCCCTGCCAGCGGTAAGTGGTAGAAATGAACAGCTTGCCGTTTCAACGTTCAAATAGATACTCCTTCGTGGCTCAGTTGCTAATGCCACCCACTGACAAGCAAGAGGTCGGACGTTTAGTTCCGTGCGCTGGAGTCTTTTTCCGGATTGTTTTTCTTTCTTGCATTTTAATATATATACATATATATATATATATATATATATATATATATATATATATATATATATATATATATATATATATATTGTACCGAAGCGTAGTGGCGCCAGCTCTGTGCCAGCGTGAAAGAAGGCGTTGACGTCCGTGTGTGGCTCGTGCTTGCCGGGTTCCTGCCTGTACCAGCTTGTTGCGGCTAACGTTTCTCGAATATTATCCTGTGTTTTTACGCAACCTTGGTCGTTGCATTATCAGACAGTCATGGATAACTAATGCTCTTCTGAGCAACATTAAGGAAAAAAAAACAACTGATCTAAAAGGGTTGAAATGTGGCGTTTTGACTAACCTCTTCTACAGTGGCCCAGAACGTACTCGAACAGACTTTTTGTGTTGCTAAAAGACAAAAAGCGCACCTAATACTAGAACCTCAATGTTGAAATCGGATTTATTGATTGATTTGCGGGGTTTAACGTCCCAAAACTACGCTATGATTATGAGAGACGCATCTTGAAATAGGAAATGACATCCCAAACAAATGAAGCGCAAATGAGGAATTTCTGAACTAGCATGCTTCGGAGCCGGAGATTTCTGAGGTTTCGGATGGTACACGAGTACTCACAAATGTCTCTGAAGTTGCGAATGCTTTTAATTTGCCCTTTTCCACGGCAAATTTGTCTACTTCGTACCCTGCTTCCTCTCTTCCTCGATTCCCGCATTCCTTCTATCTATGGCCTGTTTCCCCGCATGAAGTTGGCCAAGTAATAAAACAATTAAAATGTACAGGTGCCCATCCAGATAACCTTAACTCATCAAGAATAAAAATTATCATCTCCAAAACCTTCAGTACTCTGGCTCACGTAACTAATTTAATGTTTAAGTCTGGTGATTTTCCTGATGAACTAAAGACAGGTGAGGTGGGTCCACTGTTTAAAAAAGGTGATCGGAACCTTATCAATAACTATTAACCGATCACTTCTCTTTATTTCATTTGCAAAGTTATGGAGAAATTGCTTACTAACCACCTAAAAACTATCTAAACAAGTTCAGTCTTTTGACAACCTATCAGTTTGTTTTTACGCTCACCTTTAGAACTCGCTTTATTAGAATTCACTGAATACCATAAAAATTTTATTGATAACGGCCTCACTGTCGCGGCCGTATTTGTGGATATTTTTATAGCGTTTGACACCACCAACCATAATTTTTTTTTTTGCAAAATCAGACTCTTATTATATATTTGGTCACTCACAAACGCTTATTCGGCACTACCTGTTGAATAGGTGCCAGCGTGTTATAGTGAGTTAATTCTGTTCTGACTTCATTATGATTAATCAAGGTGCCCCTGAAGGCTCAATTCTTGACCCTTTGCTGTTTTTGTTGTACATTATTGACTTACGTAAATGTCCTAATTCATTTATTGTACTTTATATCCTGATGATACCATTATCTTTTCATCGAATAGCAATTTAAAAAACTTACTTAAGGAAATTAATAAGGACGCTGACAATGTCGTAAAAGGGTGCCTTATCAATCAGCTCGTAATTAAGCCACGGAAAACGACATTCATGCTATTTTATTGCTCACGTAAGACAATACCATTCATGCCATTTTTATCAATTGACTGGCATGTTATTCATCCCTCCGATACAACGACGCTTCTTGGTGTTACAATTGAATCTCACTTAAATTGTAATGAATACATCGCCACCATTTCGTCTGATTTTTTAGCAATCGTGTTTCAATTAAAACTCACCCCTTTTTTTTCCTCTGCGCAATCTTCGTTCATCATACTTCACCTTCGCTTAGAGTCATTTAACATATTGTTGTTCTTCCTGGCAAAACACTTACATGATTCATCTCTCCAAGTTTGCTCACTTGCAGAAAAAAGCAATAAAAATTATCACCTTCAGTCACTGAAGGGAGTCTGCCACGCCCGTGCACCGTAATCTAGGCTTTATCTCCATCAATCATTCCATCTCATTGAAACTGGGTACCCTCATTTTTCGTGCACGTCATCTTGACATTCAACTAGAAAGCATCTCACTCCGTTTTCTAACACAAGTTTGACTAGATTCTCCTCTGATCTTAGCTTACTGTTGCTGGTAGTACACTCGAACTATGGCAAACAGAAAGCGCTTTTTTTAGGTGTTTTTCTATAAAACTCGCTTCCCTTGATCAATATAATTTGTCATAATATGCCTACATTTTAAATAAAATGAGGGAAGATTCCTTTCACCTTTCATGCTAAATGTTTTCAGCGTTTTATTTTTCGTTTTTTTTTCATTTTTCAAGTGATGTAACTCTTTGCAGTATGTATATTATTTACACGTTTTTCGATATTGTATGTTCTAGGCCTTGCAACTTTAAAATTATTTGCGCTCTTGCTTTTCTGTTTTTGCTTAGAAATTCACGCTTCGTAATATGCTTCTCATCGTCACTTATCTGCCCTGTATTTCCCTAATCTATTTTCAATAAGAGGTCCCCCTGACGGTATTTACCTTGGGACTTCCTTCTGTAGCACTTACGAACGAAGTCATTTGTATTTGATGATGATATTTCAATAAACTTTCAACCGTCAACTACTATTATCTTCATGATTCTCGCTTGCCTAATTATAACTGTGGTGGCTAAGTTGCTTGCACAATAAAGTGTTTATTTATTCTGTTTCTTCTGACACAGGACGTCGAATAAAATGGTTTACAATGCAGCAGCAAAACGTCGGCCAGCACAAGCTTTCACGGCTGTTAACGAAAGTAAGCTATAACAATTTAAAACATTTCTGATGTAACACATTCAGTTGAGGTTGCTTGCCAGTTTTGTGCCTCACTAAATAACTAGAGTTCAGGTTCAGTGGAGTAATTCGGGCGTCTGTCTGGAAAGTGTACTAACATCAGTTTTTCCAAGGTGGGTTTATTGTTCACAATAAAATTGGTAGATGTGCAGAGACCGCATTGAGCAAGGTTGCAGCTGCGAAAAGGGTGCTAATATATTTGAATGGTCAATGATTCATTATGCCGAGGTCACACCTAATCATATTGACACTAGCTTGACGTCATGCTATAGAACCACTACGGTGACACCAAGATGCTGTCTGCCTAGTTCTGATAAAATGGAGCAATACTTCTAAAACAGGCGTTAGGCATCCCCAAAGCAATTAAAATGACCACTTGAATATGAAGTGGTCATCAAAACATCACGTCACCTTGTTTGAGCACTTGGCGAGAAGCACGTTTTATGTTATGACGTCAGGATTCAGTAAGAATAGCAAGAACGGCTAAAATTATTGTAATTAGCATTTTAGTGTCTGCTCACTTTCAGAAATACATTCAGAAAAAAAAACTTTCTGAAAAAAAATACATGTTCTAGGCTTTGAGGGTTTGGCCCATTTTTCGGTGCGAAAAAAAAACCGTGGTGATTAAAAATAATTCTGTCAGTAGCCACAGACGCAATGGCAAACACTTTATTGAATATAGTTTGCCCGTGTTCTTCAACAAAAAAAAAACAAACAAACCTTATGATTGAGTGGGTTTAAAAGACAACTTAAAAGATTGTACTCAAGTTTTTATCAGCATTCATGATTGCTACCAGTCACATCGAACCGTGAACAGTAGAAGCGGGGCCTCGGATGTCAGCGCTGGCAATGATAATTAAAAAGGGCATAGGTGTTGCGTTAATAATAACATAGTATACTGCTACACCATGCTTAGTACATGAGACACGAGCCACTGGTAGTTACATAATTTTGATGTGTAAACAATTATGAAACAGGATGAACCAGAGTTCTTTTAGTGGAAACTGCACAAGACGGTAGGCGAGATGAGCAGTTGCAGGACAAACAGTGGCTCATATCCTTCAGGACAAAAAGGAATAAACATTAAAACTATGTTTAAGGGGCAAATTCACTGCTTTAATTGTAGCCCTGCTCTTTGTTAATTTTATTCATGATTTTTATGGTGTCCGTGGCTTTAGGTTCAAAAGATCTTGTGGTTCCATTGATTAGGCTTAATCCACACACTTCGACAGACACACACACGCACACAGTGCTAACTTCCAACTAATGATTTATTTGCGATCACACCTGCTATTTATACAATAACAGTAGATCGATAAAACGTAGAAGCCATCATGTAAAAATACAGCACAGTTCATGCGCGTGTAATTACTCAAAGCGACAATGTGCTCTCTCCAACGTCGCAGTGAAGATTCTAGATACATTTTTTTTATCTGACAAAGCTAAGGAAGTCACACTCACGCATGTTTCGTTACACCCATATGAATGATTAACCCCAAACAACTGGCCTGGCAGCGTGCCCTAAATAAGCTTGATGAGTATTTGGCCCCACTACATCTGAAGAGAAATGACTCAAGCGTCATGTTCATCTGGTGCACGGAAAAGTAGGCATGCTGCAAACGCGTCTAATACTAGGTGAGTTAGAGGTACCGTAAAACGCTATGCGTTTAGGCGTAAATGTGCACTCACGTTGAAAGTGCCCATGCGCTTGCTTCAGCGCATTTATTCGACAGCTTGTGCCTTGTACGGTCGAGTGGTCTGCATTCTTGAACCTGGTAATAATTCATCCCATTAGCCCCATTAACAACGATAGGAAGATTTAAGTACTTACAATACATGATGGTTGCCTAAATCTCAAGTGAAAAAATTGAACAATAAATGCTACAAGAAACCGAAAACCAATAATATTAACGGCAACTCAACATTTACCATAGCGTTGCGGTACGTGCGGCAAATCCTTGGCTTTTTTTTTTCAATTCAATGAGTCGTTGGGCTGCCAAATTCCCAAAAAATGATGAAAACGGCTGACAACTTTCAAAAATTTGTGACACCTAGCACCCATTGCAGCGTAGCTTCAAGAAATGTTTTGAAAGATGTAGATCATACCCCTAAAAGCAAGTTCGATGGGAAATGAAGCAGTAAGGCTGAGTAGATGAACACACAAAACGTAAAAACGAGATTTCTGAAAAAGGGTTGGTGAAAGTCCTACCTAAAGTAATGATTCCTCTAGCCAAACGCAATAAAATTGAACGACGCAGAGTCACGGGACAGCTGTTGAAAGGTGCCATTAGCTCCAAGTAAAGCAGTAGGTACAGCTGCTAAAAGCATTAGCGATTGCTTTTGACAAAAATAATTGATATCAAAGACGAAGTACATTTATGAGGCTTTGAGTATTGTCGCGAAAATCTCTCTACCGCCATCAAGAACTCAGAACATATTGTTTCGTCACTGAATATAGACTGGTGCTGGCAAGTTATATGTCGAAAGCAAAGATAGTGACACCAGGTAGCAATGAATATTGAGCAAAATTGCTGCTTGCGGATGCATGCCGTCGACATACCTTACTGGTGCGCATCGAATAGGAACAACACATTTTATATACCACGCATATATTGCAATTTAACGTCTTTATTATGATTTTCTTCGTGCAAGGTAACGAACTACTACGTGCAAGACACCACATCTGGCGAAGAAGTCTCGAACAATCGTATTGTAGTCGGTGCTCATTTCTTCTATATTATATTTATTCTAGTTGACACTGTCATACTGAGCTGATTGATGTGAATTTTTACCACTACAGCCACAACGTACTACAAAAGTTCACTTTCGATAGATAAGCAACTTTGTGTGGAGAGACGTGTGGTATTGTACTCAGTCGACACAATGAAGAAAAAGAATGGGGCCAATGACATATAACCACCACTATTTTTTTTCCTAACTATTGGCCAGGCATCGCAACTTTGCATTGAAACATTGTGGAACAGGCCAACAACAGAAATTTAACTTTCTATTTGCATTTCTGTAATAGGTGGATCCACAAGTTATAGAGTTGCATTTAATTATACGTCAGAGTACTGCGCAATTATAAAGAAGCAAAATGAGACAGGTGGAGGTAAGTAATCACTTTCATTCGATATTTAATAAGGAGAATTCCTTAGCAAACTGCCAGTACTTCTATCTATCTATCTATCTATCTATCTATCTATCTATCTATCTATCTATCTATCTATCTATCTATCTATCTATCTATCTATCTATCTATCTATCTATCTATCTATCTATCTATCTATCTATCTATCTATCTATTTATCTATCTATCTTTCTATCTATCTTTCCATCCTATCTATCTATCTATCTATCTATCTATCTATCTATCCGCCCTACGAATTTTAGCTCTCCTGGCCGTTTAAATAACGGTATCGATACCAATATTCGCATGGCATAACATGACTGTAAGAAGAACATATTTGACTAGTTATAACATAAAAATCGTGACATGTATGTCATGACTGTCATGATTTACATTTCATGGTCCTGCAGCTGTTGCGGTGGGTTCGTTCACATGGCAATTTGCAAAACTGGCATGGTATGGCATGATTGCATGGCAAACACAAACCACAGACCTTGACGTCCCTAACGTCCTAACTCAACCTAGAACTCCACAAAAAGAAACTACCTGCCATCCAAGACATGGCTGAAGCATCTACCCAGCACCTCCACCACTCTGAAACGTGGATATTGGCGTAAGTAGTACTTGAAAAGCTGGTCTTTTGATGCGGAAAGCGTACGGCAGCAACCGACGCAGAAATCACAACACTCGGGAAATCACAACGCTCGGGTACTTAGCATTAGGCTAAGTACATGCATTTAACGGTACTTATCATTTCAAACGGCACCAGTTGATTGAAACGGCCGATCCCATCCGCAGTACCCATCGATGTTGCTCAAGATTCAGCGTTCATACTTGCCCGATTGTCAATTAAAGAGCAATTATCACGCATATCTGAGGCACCATAACAACACGTATATATTCTGTATGTGCGTGTTTAACTAGAAAAGGTAAACCTAAGTTATTTTAAGGACCGTAGCGTTTATCACTCGGCGCTGGCCATGCAACGCTTGCACTCAAAGGGAAGTGTTTCAAACGCCTTTCTACGACGACATGGTGGTGGCACCTACTAATCGCCTTGCGTACTACACTATATCACCTCTGAGACGGCTGCACACGCCCGTCTCAGGGCCAAGCGCTCCGTTTTCCAAGAAAACTGCCAGACGGCGCTCATGTCACACGTGTGACGTGACTTGATACGCTCGTTCGCCTCCACTGCACGCTCGAGGCACTCTAAGGCAGTGCCTTCAGAATACTATTCACCAATTTTCTTGCGCAGAACATCAAATAAACGTTTTTTTAATATCTCCAGACGCAAGAATTTCGTCTTTCGACGACATTTGCAGATTAATATGCAGATACGGGTGAATTTTTATGATGGCCGCTCTTTATAGGGCATTCAGGGGCAGAGACATGTTTGGTCATGAAAGTGTTCTGTATTTTTAGTGGCTCAATGGTGAATACAATTTCAGTAGAACATACTCGTTTATGAAACAATAGTCTTCGGATAGTGAATGTCACATGTGAGATTTCTGACAGGCTGCTACATGTGCAATTTACTGTCAGCTGAGGCACCTTTTCTACTTTATTAATATACACACCAACAGGTCTGTTTTTAATATACACACCAAGATTTTAATATACACACCAACAGGTCTGTCTTCACGAACAGGGAAACTCCAAACTATTGATAAATGTGAGACCCTTAATAAACACCAACATCGTAATGTTGGACAATCATATTATAGCAATTGATGGCTCAATAGCGTAACACTGGCATGCTTCATGCAATAAAATGAAGTTTGTCGCGTGGTGCACCGAAACCCTTTCACGAGGACAAACCGGACATTTGAACATTTTTTTAACAACTTTGGTCAAGTGCAGATCGTAAGTATCTCTTAAGAATGACCCTGAAAGAGCGAGTGTCAAGAATTTTAGCTTACGAACGCAACGTTCCGAACATTTGGAGCCTGAGACGTGGACGTTGCGATACACCGAAAACTGATGGTTCCTCTTTTAGGGGCGAAGCTCCTTATAGCGGCACCCGTTTGTCCCTCGTAGTCGTAGTAGTATTCATTGTGTAACCAGTCTTACAATTACCTCCAATGCGGTGCCAGTGAGAGATTAATTCTGTGCGTTGTTGAACAATAAAAAATTAGCACCGCGCGCGTTAACTAAAAGACGAATTCTCCTGTCTCATCCCTTTTAGCAGCCATTGGCATGTACATTGAGCACTATCTGACAAGAAAGGGTTGCTACGTCATACTCGCTGGGCATAATCTCCTTAGTTTTAGAAAGGTTTAGCGAGCGTTGGGCCGCAGTGCCATGAATACAGTGAACTAGTATATACCATGAACTCGAGGTGGTTAAAGGGGGGAAGTAGACACGAAGCGCAAGCCGTAAGAAAGTGTGCGTGTGCCTCCTCTCGTTCAGTCCTTGGAATTTCCGCTGGATGGCGGTGCTTCCATATGAGGAATATATGATGAAAAGATGCGAGATGGTGGTACTTGGAGTGTTGAATAGGTGGGCGAACGAACAAACAGACAGATGCAAGGACGGACGCACGGATGGCTGCACGGACGGATAGACGCATGAACGGATGCAGGAGCGGATGCATGGACAAAAGCAGGGACGGGCGCACAGATGAACGTGCGGACGCACAAACAAAAACACGCACGGACGGGCGGATGGACACACGGGTGGCCACACAGACGCATGCTTGGATGTACGGAAGCAAGAACGAGTGGATGAATGGATGCTTCGCCCCACTATCAATCATTCACTCCGTGGATATGCTGCCATTTTTTTACAGTGATTCTTATAGCAACGTGGCACCTCATGGTTGGTCTGTATTTTACGCACATTTACTGAAACCGGAAGTTGCTAAACCATAGCGAGCGAAAAAAGAATTCGTGAACGAAAGGGCTTCAAAAAAAAACTTCATGGAAAGCCGTCTCAAAAATTTTCGCATATCGTAGACGTATGTTGGCTAGTGGCCCTATGAAAAGACCGTTGTAAGAAGCTAGCTTTGCATGTGTTTCGTTGCGCTGATGGCAAATTTATTGTATCTTGTCATCATTTCGAAAGATACAATAATCTATCTTGCCATCTTGCCATCAGTTTATTGTATCTGATGCGTTTATTGTACAGAGTGGCTGTACGCGTAAGATTAAGCCGCCGAACGTGGACCTCACGTATATATCAATGCCGATTTGCAAAGAACTTGGCTGGCCGCATACAGTGCTCCACTTTCACGTGTTCTTGGCCCGTTACCGGGCCCCACCCGTGTCTGGACAAGCTCACTGTTCCTTCTAGAAGACTTCCGGGACACGCCGACACCATCCGGGCCCCGGTCCGACCCCAGGCTGGCCCCCAGGCTCCTTCAAAAGTACGAAGCGGCGCGGTGCCGCGCTAACCCTAACGCGCCGCGCCTGCACCTCCACGATGCAGAGTCCCGCCCAGCACTCGACACCAACGCAGCTGACGCCCTGTCGGTAAGCCCAGCCTCCCCCGGTCGTACCACTGATACAGCCGTGCCTCCGCTGTCAACATCTGGCAATGTCACCAGCCCCGCGCCGACAACAATACAGCAACAGGCAGCGTTCCTCAACAGCGTGCACGGTCCAGCAACGTGCAAGCTGAGAGTAGCAGAGACTGGTGGCGTCTCTGCTACTCTCAGCTTGATAGCCACGCAAACGCCGGAGCCCGAGAGCCATAATGCAGCGTTGGCGTTGCAATCAACCACGCCTGCTGCTCTCCCCACCTTATCTGCGTCTGGCCTACCCATTGGAAATTCCGAGTCTGTCGACAAGTGCGTTTCGACGAGCGTCGTTCCTTCCATCGCCGAAGTTTTGCCTTCCATCACTTCAGCTGACGACTTATCGACGGAAATGGACTTCACGGCATCGCAGGTCAACGAAGACAATACGCCATCCCCCGAAGGCAGCTGGAACACCGTTAGTGCCAATCGAAAACCTGCCTCGACCGCGCACCCCCGCTCCGAGCTCATCACCGCTGGAATCCAACTTCCACCTGGAACACTCACGCCGAAACTGCCTCTCTATGACCTGCTTTCTACCATCATAGCCGTCGCAAATCTCTCTCCCAAGACCAGTGCGGATGTCACCCTTCAAGCGAAATCTGCTCAGAGCCTTGTGTTTCTGAAAACGCACTCACCTCTCACTGCCCACCTCCTACTCTCCCTTACAAGTCTAAATCTTAATGGTAAGCCGATCACCATTAAGCCCTTTGCCCCCATTCCTCCAATACCATGTCTCGGCATCATACACAACGTCGGTGGCCACTTCACAACGTCTCAGCTCTCGCATGACCTCGAATCCTTTACTTCAGATATACTCGCTGCACGTATGATGGGCTCCACTGAATTCGTCCTCATAACATTTGCTGGAACCATCATCCCTCGCTTTGTGTACTTCAAACGGGTCTCTTTCCGATGCCGTCCACATAAACCCAAGCCCCCTACTTGCACTCGGTGCCTTGCAATAGGGCAACGTGCTCATCAATGCCCCCAACACAGCGTTCCGGCCAAGTGCCGCCGCTGTGCGTCTCCTCTACCAGCAGATCCCGATGCTCACGTTTGCGCCCAACCCTGGTGCATCCATTGCCAAGTCAACACCCACTCATCTCTCGACTCCACCTGCCTCTACCTTCCAGCTAAGCAACGCGACTGCGCCAAAGCAGCTTTTCTCCGTCGCACAGCCATGCGCCGAGCCACTCAGCCTTCACCGCCCTCCTCTTCAGCGCATGAGTTCCTATCACCTCCCGCAACATCCCCCCCCGGGCTCATACGCCGCTAAGGTTAAGGGAACACCTCCCATGTGCACTTCTTTATCAAACACACCTTCACCATCTTTGAGTAACGAGAGCCGCTCCTTCGATCTGCGACTGGCTATGTTGGAGCGCAACCAGCGCGAGCAACAACGCGTCTCAGATGAGCTACAACAGAAAATACTCGCACTGACGCAGACACTCGCAACTACCAC